AGGGTTGTTTTAGTGCGAACTCCTAAAGGTTTATTTAAAAGACCAATTCATAAATTGAGTATTTTACCTATTGAGGACAATAAATAGTTTGGTAATAATTGTAACCTCATTGAATTATTTTTTGTTTATATTTGTATTGTATCATTGTATTTTAATAATTTCCTTTAAATTTGGAATTGTGCATTCATTTAATATTGGAACAAATATTTTTCTACAGTCCATAATTTTATTCTATTAATTGAAATCAAATATTTCTAATAATTTTATTGTGATTCTTATAGTTTCAATGTATATTAGTTATTGTTGAAATATGTTAAATATTTCAAGGGGCCGGCATGTTCGGTCTTAGGCGAAGCGCCATCTGTAGCAATTGTTGTGAACTGCTCAGTTTCTCTTGAACTCTTGTTTGAGCCAGTCGTGGCTTCCATTGTAATAGTGCAATGATTTTTGTTATTTACAATTGTTAAAATAAAGTATTGTTTGTTGAAATTATACTATTTAATGAACCAGCGCACTGTGTACAATCGTGTACAAGTGGTAGTGCCCTTATAGTCATTGAATGGGTGTTTCTTTTGGTTTTCGTCCCTGGAACCTTTGCCACACCCAAACCAAAGTAACAGCAAACTTTAGATATTGATACAAGTCCATTATCTAAAATTTTTATTATGGACGTGCACCCTCTCTTTGCCTCCCACTGTAAGGTTCACATAAGTTTAATTTTATCACAGTGCAGAAAAGTTTAACATTTATATAAAAAAAAAAGGTGGTAACAAATTAGATACAGAAATAGAACGCTTCGCTTTAAAATATTTGTCGTTGTTTATTATTATTTACTAAAATATTTTTTTTCAAATATCTTCTCGATTCTTAACGACGCAATCGAAGCCCGGCCTATAAGAATTTTTATTTTATTTTGTAACCATCGTTGAACAGCCGACCCAATTTTATGGGTTTACGTTTACTAATGTTCAACTCCGTAGCCTTGAAATTTTGAACCCGATCCAGAGGACAAGAGAACTCCTGGATCGAGTATTGGGAGAAATTTGCCTTTGTGGAGGACTTTTTGATGGAGCTAACCAGTTAAGTTACATGGAGAGGAAGACCACGAGAGCCTCTCACGGTTAGCCTGACGGCAAGGGGACTCTAACCCATGATCAATCTACCACTGAAGATATTTCACGTCAACACTGTGGTCGGTGGAAGCTGGATGCGGAATTCGTATCGACTGGAATTCGAACCCGGTTCGCCTCATTGGAAGGCGAACGCTCTATCCCCTGAGCCATCGCGGCTGTGTCTGTAAAACTTAGACAAAATCTGTCCCAGAACCTTTGTTTACGCTTCAAAGTAAATACCTACATTTAGCATTGAGCGGGCCAAATGTAAGATTCGCATAATTTTAACTTTATCACAGAAAAGTTTAACATTTATATATAAAAGGTAGCAACAGATTAGATATAGAAGGCTTCGCTTTAAAATATTTGTAGCTGTTTATTATTATTTATTGAAATATTTTTTTAAAATATCTTCTCTCTTCTTAATAATTCATTTAAATTAAATTCCTTGTCTTTCAACCTTACCTTGTACCACCACGCACGGGGTCGGCCGGTTGCATTTTACAGATTTTAAGTGATAAAGTTTTGGTCTATATTTGTTTATTAAAAATATCTTTTATAATTGTTTATTCAATATTAGTAAAAATAAATATGATAATTCATATAAATAATATTATTAACTAGTACAAATATTAACATTATCTGATGATATTTTTAAAAACTTCTACAGGGGCGAATGACACAGCGAAGTGAAACCCAGCGGTCCTTCTTTCTGGTTTCTCTTTAAATGTTGGCCTGTATTAGACCTAAAAAAGTTCCTACTTTCTCTTTAATATTTTCATATTGGTATTAAACAGATTGATTTTTGTATTTCTCAGGGGATAGAGCGATCGCCTCCCAACAGTGGCGTAGTGAGGGGTGTGTAAGGGGGGGCATCATGCCCCGGGCGCTACTCACAATGGGGCGCCAAATGGTCCGCAAAACAAAAAATTGTTGGATAATTTTTTTTAATTATAATTGATCTCTGGAAAATATATTTTAAATTAGTGCCAGNTATTTCCATTAAAAAGTCTGATTGTGTCTGGATTGTGTTCAAAATTACAAGGCTACGGAGTTGAACATTGGTAGCTGTAAACTGAAAATTGAGTCAGCTACTCAAAGATGGTTATAAAATAAATAAGAAAAATCATGGTATTAAGCCTTGGAAGGGATAATGTTAGAAATTAATGAAACGCTGTACTGTATGGATAAACAAAGTAAAATTCATTTGATAGAAGAACACAATAAGTTCGACATAAAATAGCGTCCTTGGCGGACGAGAGCGGTAGACTCACGTGACTCGATATTCAGAGTAAGAACGAGATTGAATCTAGTAATCCTCCGAAGAGCGTGATGAATGCCATCTCCACCCACTAATGAACCTTTAGCTTTAGAATATCATGTGTGGATGTTACATATTCTCATAATTAATCATGTGATTTATGCTTAAAAAAAGCCTTTTTATAAACAGAACTGGCCTATGTAAAAGTACATAGAAATTGACAAGTTAAAAACGCTTTATTTCAAGCATTTATTTATTTATTTTGAAACACGCAAATCTTAGTTTTCTGAAATTATGCTACAAAAATCATAAATATACTGTGAAAATGACTCATGAGTGGGATGGGGAGATGGTAGCATTACTTTCTAAAATTATCAGTGAATTCATAGATTTCTGATCGCTTCGTCTCCCTCACTTAGAACAGCCTATGATGGCAGCTGCTTTTTACTGTAAGTAGTTAGTTTGAACTTTTTTTTGTGCTCATAAATTAATGCACATAAATCTTTCTATTTTAGGCATAATCTGTATAAGAGTCTTTCTTCTAGCTAATTATTCATGTACAAGAAGCTTTATTTAGTTTACAATGTTAGTTTTATTTTGGTTGCGAATCATTATTAACCCTTTTGTGCCGAGGAGCTTTTTTAAAAGGACGATTCATTTTATCAAAAAATAGAAAGGGGCAGCATAAGTGTTTAGTTATTAAGAGTTATTTTACAGAACTGGAGGATACTAAGAGCCATTTTTGGAGGAATACAAGTTGATGGCTAAGACGCTCATCTTTAGAACTTTATCCTGCCTTCAAAGAATCCGACGTCATCGAACAAATAAAAATCCAAAGAATGAAATGAGCTGGTCATGTTATTAGAATGAATAAAGAACGCCCAACACAGGAAATATTCTTGACCAGGCCCTCTGGAACAAGAGCTAGGAGCCGACTTAACCTCAGATGTGTTGCTTGCCTAGAAAGGTATCTCGCAATTTTAAGAGAGATTAGTTGGAACATGACCAAAAATAGAGAGGGCTGGAGGAAAATTCTTAGGAAGGCCAAGGCCCTCCCACGGCTGTCGTGCCGTTGAAGAAGATTTTAGATAAATAAGGCAGTTTTCTCTACCATAATAGAATAAAAATATTTAGATTTTGATCTAAAGTACAGCGTTTTTTAAGTCCCCTATCCCTTTATCTTTCGAAATAATTTGGACCTGACATTGTTTAACTTATATTAATTAAAGTTGATGAATTATCATGCCTAGTTTCTAGGGTGAAGATCATGACACACTCCAATTACATAGAAACGTGTTATTTCAGGAGAGCAGCTCTACTTACTGAGGGAGGCAAATCATTTATAGCAGTTGGCAGAGAAATACAAAGATAGACATTTTACATACACAACAGAAGTCATTGCCCAGGGCATTTTAAAAAATAAAATGACAGGTATAACAAATGTGTATAAATGTACTAGTACTTTTTTTCATTGTGTTGATAATATCAGGTAGAATTTCTTAGTAACTTGCACGAAATATTGTTCAATAAATTGATCCGAATTTTAGATGAAGAGCTTGCAGTGGAGAAAAAATTCTCTAAATGGCATTTAAGTGAATTTGTGAAAATTGACCTTAAGGTTTATAAGTTAATCTTTTTCTGTGTTTTGAGTATATTTATGAAGGTATAGCACATTTTTTCGGAGAGGGGATAATATTGAATATGGCACTGTTAACTTCAATGAAGGAAATTTTTAATGATTTTGCTGATGTATATTTTCCCGTTCTACTCACTTCTTGAATCGAAAAAGACAAAACTTATTTTATTTGATAAAATTTTTAAAAAAAAGTAATTGGCCTGAATAATAAATTTTGATAAAATTACAAGTTATACATATACATGGAGGGGCTCACTTAACATACAAGTGTTGACCTTGAATTAAATTTGGAATCAGATGCGTTTTGCTATAGATTCTCACGATTAATCAGAATTTTTCTTCCATTTGAAAACAAAAAATAAAGCGTTCGCTTGGCATATACCAGGGATTTTTTTCTTTCGATTTAAATTTCACATAAATTACTTTTAATTGTATTTTTAATGAGAAAATACTCTATTAATTTTACAAAACTGTCTAAAAATGGTATCTTTTTAATTTTCTTTGTAGCTTGTCATGATCTAGAATTCGTTTCGAGGGAAGAATGGGGCGCTAGAGAGCCGAAACACATAGAAACAATGGCTACTCCAGTTCCTCATTTATTTATTCACCATACTGCAATGGGCGAGTGTTTTCATTTTGAATCCTGCTGTAAAATGATGCAAACAATACAAAATTTTCACATGGATGATAGAGGTAAATTTATATTAGAGGTATGAATATTATGCATTTATGCATATTTTATAATCTGGGGTGATTGGCACATAAAATGAAAAGCCCTGAAAGTTTTATGTGCAAAAAGTCTGTGCCAAAATATCAATTTATGTACCATACATGTTTCATATTTAACAGAATTTTTTGAAACTAACATTTTAATTAAATTACCTACTCATATACCTTTATAGTAATTAATTCAAGAAAAAACTTACTTCTTACAGGGTATCTGCTACATTTTAGATTTACAAATTCATGACTTTTCATGATTTTCCATGACTAATTCCAAGAATTTTTCATGACTTAACGAAGTTGCTATTTTCTTCCAACAAAAACGCAACAATAAATTAAAAAAAGCATTATAATAACATTATTCGAAATAGGTATAAACAAAACTATTATTCTCTTCATCTTCATATTTATAGATTTTAAACTTAAAAAACAGAGTAAGGAAAGAGTTGAAACAATAAAATAGTTGAAAAAAATACAAAAGCAAAAAAAAATTTTTCCAGCAGAATTATATTCTAAAGATACTTTTCTTGTTCATCAGAAAGGAAAGAAATACTCCTGATTTTTCTGTTCATTTCGGAATAAAAAAGATTCGCTGATAACTGGTTTGCTTCAACTAGAATTTTAAACTGATAAAATTTAAAAAAAATAATAATAAAAATTCTTAAATCACAGAAGAGAGTTTAAAGGATAATTCGCTCTAGAAATGATATTTTTTCTTTCATTTTTTGAAAGAACACCATAATTTTTAAAGAACATGATAAAATCATTTTATATTCAAATAAAATATGACTGAGTGGTGATTTTGTTGGAAATTCAGATATTTGGAACAGGATGAAATTGGGGGGAGATTCCATTCTTAAAAATTAGATTTTTCAAAGACCTAAATCCATGACTTTCCATGATTTTTTTTAAAAAAAAGCAAAAATCATGACATTTCATGACAAATTTTGTTCAATACCGAAATTCATGACTTTCCAGGTGCGCGGATACCCTGTTCTTATCACGATATTGGATTTTAAAATCGCGTGAATATGAATCGCGATATCGAATTTTAAAAACGCGAAAATACAAATTGCGATATTGAATTTGAGTGAATATGAACTACGATAAGGGATTTTAAAATCACGTTAATATGAATCACCATATCGAATTTAAAAATACGAATTGTGTAAATACGTATTCTGATGCATAATTTTTAGACCGCGAGAATAGGAATAGCTTTGCGTAGTTTTTAAATCTCGTATAAATACGAAAATTGATGTTTGATATTAAAACGCGTGAATACGAATCGCAATATTGGATTTTAAAAACGCGTGAAGGGGAATCGTGAGGTACGATTTCTAAATCACTTGAATACCAAATGCAGCGCGCAACTTTTAAATCGGGTGAATACGAAAATCAATGTTTGATATTGTTCAATCTAAAATGAATTCCTGTTTTCAATATGAATAGTGGAAAATGTTCCACTTACCTTTAGACCGCCAATTTGATGATTCATAAACCTTTATTGGTTTTAATTACAAATAGATGAAGATGAATTTACATGNGTTTGATGGATGATAACGGTGGGTTATTGGTGACGGTCTGGGAAACATCCCTGAGGATGATCCGAAGACATGCCATTCCGAAGATGTTTTAATATGGCAACATTAGTAGCCCACAAAATATACATACCTTCATGAATATTTAAGCTAGATTTACAAAATTTTGTGCTGTTATTGCATATAATAACCAAATTGACAGAAGTTCCACGTTTATCGCTTTAATTTTTGGCATAGGGTGTTCAAAATCATAATTTTTCATTTGTAATTTATTGTTGGTCCCTCAAAACTCTTAAAGCTTTAAACTTTACTGATATGTATGAGCAAACGCACGACATTAACACTTATAAAGTTTTAAAATAATTCTCTAAATATTTCAGGAGAAATATAACAAAAATGAATTAGTATAGAAGTGTTTCCATAATTTGTCCAACCTTTGTATATTAAATCTATAATACAATTTCTTCTTAAAACAGGATGGGATGATATTGGTTACAATTTTTTAATTGGAGGTGATGGGAAAGTATATGTTGGGCGAGGATGGAACAGAGTAGGTGCCCATACCTATGGATACAACAGAAACGCAGTAGCTTTAAGTCTCATGGGTGATTTCTCTAACAAGGAACCATCAAGTGTGATGTTGAATACAACAAAAAGTCTAATCCACCATGCGATGTCTGAGGTAATTTAAAATCCTAACTAAGAGTGTTTTTTTTTATTGAATAAGTACATGCAAGATAATTTGCTAGTAAATAAGCAGAAGTATAGTTAGAAAAAGAGACTAATTGGGCAGCATTTTCACCTGAAATTATCAGAACAGAGTAAACAAGTATAATGAAAACATTTCACTATTCTTAAGAACAAACACTTTGGAAAAGGAAAAAAAGAAATAATAAACAAATAAATTAAGTAAAGCAGAAAAAAGGAAATCCAAAGATGTTCTGTGCAAAAACACTTTTTAAATAATTGAAAAAATACCTGAAATTTGAGCAAGAATAAAGTGTATGTTGGAAGCATTTTTCCAAACAACGTTATCATAGTTTTAATAAGTAAAAAAAAATATGTGAGATTTAATTTATTTATTTGAATTATGTGAAAATGGAATCTCAAAGTGTGGTTCTTAAATCACACGAAAATGTATCGCGATATTTAATTTTAAAATAGTGTGAATAATAATATAGATGTTTTTAAAATCGCGTGTAAGCAGACAATTTTTTCAGTCCTGGGAGTGTCCGATTAACAAAGGTTTCACTTCACTGAACAAATATGCCTTTTAAATAAACATTTAGTTCCTACAAAATAAGTATTATTTTTATATTTTCTTTTCAGAATTACGTAATGGAAAACTTCAAACTTCATGGACATAGAGATGCTGGACCAACAGAATGTCCCGGTACTGCTCTTTACAACATTATTAAGCAGTGGCCTCACTTTCAAGGTGGACCTCTAGCTAACTACCGTAGAGTCTGAAATAATGCTGGAATTCACTATTCTTTGGTTCCTAATATACCCTATTTTTATAAAATTAGCTGTTCTTTGCTACCTAATAAACCCCATTTTTTTAAAATACACTTTTTAAATTTATTATTGTATAAACCATTTTTGTAAAATACTTTGTTAAACTTTGTTATTGAATAAACAATTTTTGTAAAATATACTGTTTAAACTATGTTATCCAATAAACCATGTTTGCAAAAATATGTTTATCATATTTACATTATGTCATGAGTGAAACTGGTTAACTGATGCCAGATCTGAAACGGTACTTAAGAAAAGTTTGTATGGATCTTTTTATTTCTTAACATGGAGAAAATTAACACAATTTCAAAATCTCATAAAATGCAAAACACTTAACATAAATAAAATTAATTAATTTTATTCGCTAAATGGCATAAATGAGTCAAGGCAAAAACAACTGACTTATGTGCTGCACCACTGGTTCGTATTGGTGAATAGTCTTTGCATAAGTTCGTTTTATTGCTCATACAAATGGTGAATCGGATTATCTTAATTTATTATATTAATTTAATCTTTTTTTCTTTAATATTAATTTTAAATTAATTTTATTCATAAAATTAATCTTAATTTAATAATTTTATTTGGGAGTTTTAAAATTATATTTGAATAACAAAGCATACTCATCGCCCCCCTACCGCCCAAAACATACCAACTGCCCCCCTACTACACAAAAACAGTTCACAGCCACCGTTGAAAAACAATAATTTAAAACAATGTAAAAAGTGATTTAAAAACATTTTTTAAAAATTATAGAGTCATGGTGAATTTAACATTAAAGGTACATAAGTTTTGACAGTCCTCCTGACAAAACAATAGACACTGTATTTTCTAGATTGTGGCTACTCAATATTTTGAAAGTATGTTTTGTTGGGTACCACATTTTGAGGGTCAGAAACTTAATTCATTCGCAGGAGGAAAAAATAAAATTAATCAGGAAAATTAATTTTTTGCACCTGATTTCTTAACTTTAAGTATCATCAGCACAAATTAAGGTTAGTCCTTTAATAAATAATACCTAAAAAAATTGCAACAAAGCTAAAAATTTAATTGAATTACCATAAGTCAAAAATCATATCTGAAAAGAAAACTAACTATTAAATCCTTCATAAAAGAAAACAATTGCTACTTACAAAAATAATAAATAAGAAAATGGTAATTATGTACAATTTATTATTTTTAAAAAATATACATATTATTCCCATTTCCTATTACATTGAACAAATCATTTACATAAAGTAATTAACACTAAAAGCAAACTTTATATGAAAAATACAAGATAGAATTTACAATAAATATATTTTTACAGATAACATAACAACTCATGTATTTTTAATACTGTATCTTCATTTATATATTTACGATCACAGATTTGACTAAAAAGCTCTTCAAAATCTCGATGCATACAAGATAATCCTAAAACAAAATTAAACAGTATAAAAATCTTATATTCTTTATTAAAAATACATACTATTCGTTTTTATTAAGGATACATCATTGAAATTATTAGTTCTGAAAAAAATGTTCTTTTTTGTCCAATACCAACGAAACTTATGGAGCAAAACTGCTTTCCGGGGCATACATCGGTGGAGGTGGGTATGACTCATGGGCTCTGTTGTTTGCAGAGACAACTGTTAGGAGTATTGTGGAAACTAATACAATGAACAAGCTCACCCAAACAATCATGATCTGTGGTGAGATGGAACTGGGTACAGCTTCATAATATGGATCTTTTTGGATGTCTGAACTTTCTATTATCTTTTCAACTAACAAAGGTAACCAACTCATAACTAAAGATTTAACTTTCCAGTGCTTGACTTTTATTTTATTTGTAGCATTAATTTATGGCTTTTATTCATTAGTTGTTTGGAATGCAATTTTACAGAGTTGTAAGAGAGCACCTTAATTACAGCACTTTTAGGATCTTTCCTTTTTTTTTTTTGCAAAAAAATTAGATTGCTTGTTCCCTAATAAGTCACAACCACCAGGTTACTACCCTGAGTCTGATTAATTCATTGTTATAAAAATGCTGAAACGGAGGCTAACATTACAGATAAGGCAATCAAATATTATCCCTTTCCTTCAAGCTGTCTTTACCTTCCCAGGTATAAGTTTCAAGTGAAATATTGGTGCATGTTAAAAACAGCTTAATAGAAATTTTTAAAAAAAAATTGGGAGTCTGAAGATAAAAGTGTAATAGTAAAAATGAATAGCAAAGACAGTTATAAATAATGACTGCTATAAGTAATAATAATTAAAATTGAAATAAACTGATGTCAGCCATACACGTGACTGCCTTATTTGAATATTATATCAACTTCACTGATTAAAAATATAAATTCATCCTCATTTTCACATGCATGGAAGTTTTTCCAAGCTTGTTTTAAAGCAAGTACACTTCCAGCTCATTTTTGCTTCAAAACAAATCATACAAGATACAAAAAAAAAAAATCTTTAAATCTTAATGTTTTTTTTTTNATGTAAAAAGGGGGTTAGAATACTATTGAATAAAACCATCATATAATCCCTTTTTTAAACCAAGGTGATCACAAATACTCATGACCTTGGTTCACCTGATTTTATTGAATTTTCATTATTAATTTCTCAGCCATGCTTCATTTTTAAAAATAAAATATATTACAAAACACTTATAATTGCTATTCCAAGTTAAAAAGGTTTCTTTTTTTAGAAAAAAAGCAATTTTTTTTTTAAAAAAAAATTAGATTTTTGGTTCTAAAAAGTACTTTAAACTCAAATTAATTAACTCTTCCTGACGTTTTGGGTGTTTTAAATAAATTCCTTGACATTTCCCTGATTTTTCCAGATTGATAAAATTCCCTGACTTTTATCTGATTTCCCTGTTCTGCGTCCTCCTTGCAAACGCACCACAACCAAAATGTACAAAGCTATATAAGTTCAGAAAAAACATGCCTCTCTCATTGGACAGTAAAAAAAACATATAGTAAATGAGTACAGTTTAAAAAAAAATGGGGAAATCATGGGGAAAGAAATTATGAATTGAACAAATAATTAAAAAATACCTATTTTTATTAGTAAGCAAGGAAAATAAATTAATATACAACAAAATTAATTAGGGGAACCCCAAACTGTTGTTAAGTCTTCAGAAGTGAGCTAACCATTGATGTTGGAGTTGATTAGATCCTATCTGACAGCTGAGGTTCTATTCAGCACCTTTCTAAATGGTATGAAGTTGGTGATAGTACAGGAAGGGTAATTATTAACACATTGGAACATCTTTCATTCTTTCGTGAGGTGCACTTCCAATGGATACCATCCCACATTGATATACATGGTAATGAGATGGCAGATATTTTGGTTAAAGAGGGTGCTGGTAAAGCGTTGGACACACCTGATTCACTAACTTATTTGGAGCAGTTCTTAAGATCTAATAAAGCTGAAAAGTCTTGGACCATCCCTTCTGTTCACCAATGGTACCAGGGGTGTTTCATCACTCAAGTTTCGTAGGCGGGACCAGACGGCCATCACCAGGCTTATCAGTGGACATTTGAGTTCTCTGTCTTACTCAAATGGAAAAAAGGTTGTTCAAACTTGTGTAAAGTGTGCTGACCACCAGGCCACCTCAGACCATATACTAGATTGTCTGAAGCAAGATCTTTTCCAAAACCCAATTCTAGTATTATACTTTCTTAGAGGGACAGATTTCACAAATTTATGCAACAATATGAACAACATGAGATATGCAACAACATGAAAATAAATTAAAATATAAATAAATGAGTCCGGAAGATTAAAAAAAATTAACAGTTCGCTTAATATGTTAAGAGAAGGATAAAGTTTACCTTTAAAACCAGGATTTCTAATCCCACTCATCATCATCTTCATCACTACTACTGCCACTCTCATCTAAACAAATATTCATCAATACAAATGAATAATCATAAATCATCAAAGACAAATTAATAATCATAATAAAAATATTAATTTATTGCACAATAAGAGGAATAAAAATGGTCAATCATTTTATGCATTGCATTTAAAATGTATGTTTGACAAATATTATCCAGCCTCATTTATTTTTAACAATAAACATACCAACACTTTACAATACAACACACTATAACCGGTCTTTAGACCAGTTATGGTATGCTCAATGTCACTGAAACAAACACAAAAGCATCTAGTTCTAAGAACACTTTGTGGCCAGACATTTTTTTAAACTTTTAAAGTATGGGAGTTTTGTGAGTTGAAATTGAAAATTATTCAAATTTCGGCTAGGAATTGAAAATATTATTAATATCATTACTTATACCAGCTTTGAGCTAAACTAGCTGCAGAAAGTATCTTCTCACAAATAACTCTGACAATAATAAACCTTTATAAAATACAATTCCAAAAATTATTTCAGCACAATTTTTGCAATTCTTTTTATTAGGGGTGCACTATTGTTTTCAGAAGAGGATTACAGAAAAGAAATTTTAATTTTTGGAGGCCACAATGATTTCAGTTTTCTATGCAAATTATTAACATCTTTAATATTTAAAAAAAAATCTTAAGTTATAATCATTTTAAGCATGCTTTAATCACAGAAAAAACCTCAAAATGTTAAACAATTTAAATCTTTTAACCCATTGAATAAGTATAGACCTTGTAGTGGGCAAGTAGAAAATATGAGAGAACAGTTTTCGAAAAAGAAAGACAAAAATCGCCACATTTTTTGGAACAATATACAAATAACATTTTACTTTTAAAGTTGCTCTATTTAAGTAAAAAACAGCAAATTTAATCACAAAAAGAATAATGAAATAATTTCAATTTTAGAATTATTTTATTTAGAAAAGAAAGTTTTAACAGCTTCTAAAATAGTTTTACTAATGGAGCACTTACCAACTAATAATAGTTTGAGACAATATGTAAAAAATATTTATAGAACCATTGTAGTAAAAAAAAGTAGTATCAATTAGGTAGTTAATACTCTTTCAAACCAATATTTCATTAAAAATTTTAATTAAGTTAAAAAATTTCAGTAGTAACCAAGTTCAGTTGGGTTGTATTAATCTCAAAATGAAAATTAAGTGAATATGCCACTTTTATTGCACAAAAGTAATTTAGTCGATAATCCCTCAATTTAATATTTAAGGTTATAGTTCAAGAAACTGTGTCAGAACCTGCAGAAGTGCTAAGTAATACCCATGAAGATGGTGAAACAGAATCATTACCGGTGCAAACATTTGCAGAAGGCTTTGAAACAATAAACAACATTCTGTATACCCAGGAGTGTACAGAAAATGAACAGCAATCTGTTATAAATGTCAAAAAAACATTTCGTGCATTGAAAAAAAAAGAGCCTATTAAAACCATAATTTTCAAATATTTTAAATAAATAAAAATGTTCATTCTTTAGCACTATAAGAAGTTTTACAATATGAAGATAATCTTTTCAATCAGAATATTTTATACTTCAGCTTATTAATTTTCATGCCCATTACTTCTTTATTACTTATGCATTTTCAAGTCATTTTTTTATGTTGACCTGCATTAATTATTTTCTCTTATTTATCACTTCCAATGATAATCCCATGAGAAACAATCAATCGAGGTTTTACTGTATTTTAAAACTTGCCCTTGTATTAGTAGAAAATGGGATGTTCTGCTCATGAATACAAATTCATGTCAATGTAAAAAGCTGAAGATCAAGACAAATTAGGGCAAAATACTTTTTAATAGAAAAATCAAGAACATCAAGACAACTAGTTAATACCAGAAATTTTGATTTTATAATAAAAAAAAAAGCAATCCAGCAACAGCCTGTTGTGGAACAGGGGGGTCATGGAGGATAGAGCTCCACAATTTCATGATCAACGGCATGATTGTGGCAATGTGGTCAGCACTGTGCACAAGCCGCCTCTACTTCCCAGACAAGCTGATACCCATCGATCTGAAGCCGGGTGGACTTCTTGCCACCACTAGAGATTGAAGCCCAGTTCTGCACAATGACAGCCCAGTGACTTCACCACTGAACCATTGTGGCTTTTAATTTTATAATTTTGGTGCTTTTTAAAAAGTGTATTAAAATTAGTTTGAAAGGCTATTGTTAAATTTCCCATGCTAGTTTTGTAGTTTTTTTATGGCCATGATTTATTTAATTTTTGTTAGGAAGAGAAAATGCCACACATTTATCATTTGGAGGCTACATTTGGCCCCTGATTGCATACAGGTTAATCTATCTACTATTTATTACCTGTATGGTGAATGGCTCTATTTCTTTCCTGTAGAGCTCGAGCTAAAGCACCTGCCAAACCATCCATTGGTGCAGCACATGGAGCCGGACGAGAATCTTCTGAAACCTACAAAATGCATAAACTCTCAAATACCTCAAAAATTATTTACAGCTTTTTTTTAAGGAATAAATAAAAGAAAAATTATACAACAAAGTTTCAAATAAATCCTTGAAAAAAATAATAAAAGGAAACACTTAATTATATGAAATGCACCAATAATGAAACAAGATAATAATAGAAAGCATGGATAAAATACTTTGATTGTCGAGTTTAATATTAAGAACATAAGATTTAAAAGGTTTTTTTTAATGAAAATCATGTTTGTTTTTTTTGCAATAAAATATCCATAGTTAAAACTCAGCTGAAGTGAAGTGAGACAACATTAGTTGCTGTTCATACCTAAGTTAATAGTGATTAGTGTAAAAATGAAAAATTTAAAAAACTTTTTTAAAATAATGTACAAGTAAAATTGCTCTTATACTTACGGCTTTTAAAACAACTCCTTGTCTAATTTGATTTAAAAGAGCTCCACGACCATCATTTACTTCTTTGGGAGCATCATTACCATTGATTTCAACATGCTGAAAAATAGCCACACAATATATTACTACTAAATTATTACACTATTAACCAGTAAACAAATTACAATAAAACTATTGTACAAAACAAACATTCCAATTTTTCCTGAGACGTAGTAGATAAGTATAAAAATAGTTTAGTGTCTAGCAGAGTAAACACATTTTATATTTCTGCACTCCTGCTTATATGTGCCTGAATATTTCCAATAAATCATGACTCTAATATGTTCCCTGATTAGTGAACTAATTATAATTTACAAAAAAGATAAATGTTTGTTCAAGAGAGTAAATAATTTTTTCAATCAATCACAATTCAAGAGTTTAACTAAATTACTATAATTCAGTTCAGTTATTAGAATAAATTGCCTAGCTACATGTTATTTCATTCTTATAGTATTAGTACGTCTACATTCTTGTCTATGCTGCTCAGCATCAATAGAAAGAATAGTTTTGAATTTCCATCTTATTCATACAAAACTGAAAAATAAACTTGGAGTACAGAGAGCTTCAAAATTGTTTTTTTGTAACCGCATGCTTCAGGGAAAGGAGGGGTCAAAATGGGAGTAAATAAAAATTGATTTTACATAGAATGTATAACATGATTGCTGAGTGTTCTTCTTTTATTAAGCTGATTGTTTTTCGATTTTGATTTTCAATAATTTAACAAATTAATGGTTCAGATAAATTGCAAATTTTCTACACCAGAATTTAGGTTTTTGGTAGTAATTGTCAAAACATAAGTTTAACGTGACGTAACATAAATATGAGTTTAAAGTCAAAATAATTCAAAAACATAATTAATCAATCACTTGTAATTTTATATGCATGTTTATAAGTACTTCATATTTCTAATAGCTAATAATAATCCTTACACCAAAATTTTGAATTTTTGACACTTGTCGAAAAGGGTTTTTTGACATGACAGATAAAAACATGGTTAAAATTGTATAAAATTGTCAATTGTCAAAAACTTGCAAACCTTGGATGTAACATGAGGCAGCTCTTATAATTTTGAACATAGATATTTATAGCAGAACTTCAATAATCTGTAGCTCATTTATCCTAATACTCTTGGTTAATCAAAGTAAATTCCAGAGAGGTTTTTTTTCTTTTTTGTCTTTTTTTTAAATTTTAATACCGAAAGTGACAAATAAAAAAATTATTTTTTGAAGTGGTTTCACTTAGATTTGCAGCTATTTTCAATGTTTCATTCCCCTTTTCATTACAACTAGAATATTTCAGTTTCATCATTATGGCTACCAATTCTGCTTACAGAAAGTGTGTTATACTACATGTGCAAGAGAAAATAATATTGTAATGCAACTAAAATGTCAGGAGAAAGCCATGCAAAGTATCCAAAGGAATATAAATAAATGAACAGAAAGTGTGTTATACTGCATGTGCAAGAGAAAATAATATTGTAATGCAACTAAAAAGTCAGGAGAAAGCCATGCAAAGTATCCAAAGGAATATAAATAAATGAAGCCAACTTTGGAAGTCAATGAAGTCAGGTAATGATTCAGAATCTATGCTTGTAACAAATTATCAAAAACAAATACTTACGTGAAGTTCCTTGCCTTTTTTAATCTGATCTAACAAAGCTGATCTGTTGTCGATTGGTGGAGCCTGCTGCTTCGTAAAAGCAGGATTGGATGCAGGTTTGGCTTCTGGCATAACATTTGGCGGAGGGGGAGGGGGTGGAGGAGGTACACATCCACCTAATGGGGCAGGAGGAGGTGGCGGGGGTGGTGGTGGAGGAGGAGCAGGACTGGCTTCTGCTCCACCTCGGACAGATCGATGAGAAACGGGATTAGACGATTGCTGAAAAACAGGAGGCACAGAAGGTGGAGGAGGCGGGGGTGGAGGTGCAGCAGATCTTGTTTGTGTATTCCGTGGGGTACGAGGCGTATGAGGTACTTCTCTAGTGGGGACTGGTGGAGGAGTACCTGAAGGAAAAAAATTTGATACAAAAATAATAAATCATAAAAGACTATTAACTATTTCAGAATATTAAAATACAAACATTAATTCATGTATGGTATGCACAAATGTCTAACTTCAAGAACATACTTTCAACCCTCTTGTTATATCTTAAGATATTACACAAATATATATTACAGTAAAAAATACAGCACTTCATTATAGATCATTTCATATTTTTACTTTTTAACATTAGCTATGTGTTTTAATGACATTAGTCAGATGCATTAATTTGTTATTATTTTTCAACTTTTTAGCATTATTCAAATTTTATGAAAAAGATTCAAGTAATTTGTTTTTTGAAAGTGTAAATGTCTAATATTTCTTTTAAAATCTAAGCTTTTAAGTTGGACTTATTTCAAACAGCATCAATGTTTTTCAATTTAAGGGGTCACAGTACCTTTGCAACAATTTTTTAAAATAAAGGTATAATCATTCATTTTGAGGATGCCTTACATGCTCATTTAAGTTATAATCAATAATTTATCTTCAAAAAGTAATTAAACTGTTTAATTTTTTTTAAATTTTAAAAAAAGTTGAAAAAATTCTAAATTTTTAAATCCCTAAGGCTTTTTTATTTTAACATATTTTCAAAAAAAGTTTTTTTCATAGTGCTTGCAATATTTATCTTAACAATTTTGTGCATTCATTTGTTGATATATCAATTAGAATATTTTTTATAGATTATTTTGTAAAAAAGTAGAAAAAAAAGAGTAAAAATTCCTGATAGGTATATATAACATGCCGTAAAAATTGTAATACCTCATAAAATGCTTATTCCATGCACAGTTTAAATAAGTGTATTATACTCAAGATAAAAAAGTTTACTTCAAAGCTTTATCTTAAATAGAAAAAAATCCTTAGGGATTTAATTAAGATTAAGACACAAAATTATCATCTATGCGAAAAAGCACTTTAAAGTCAGACTGCTGGGCAAGTTTCTGTATTAGAACAATTTAAAATCATTCATAACTTTTTAAGAAATGTAGATAGGGAGATGAATTTTTTTCTGTACATTTGAAATACTTTGAAGTTTTATTATAAGCAATAAAAAAAAATTTGGTATTTTTGTCATTTTTTGGGTACTGTGACCCCTTAAAATTAAACTAAAAAATTTGCAAAACAAAATCATCAATAGCAAACTGCATATTTAATTTTTTTAATTAAACATAAGAAGAAAAGATATAAAAATAAATAATATAAGAACATGTCAACTGCTTATTTTAAACGTTTTTATTTTAACAAAAATGAGTGATGTGAGTTCTTGTTCACAATTTCACGCTCCCCTTTAAATGTAACATCTATAGATTTTATGCCGTATGAATGTTAAAATGACATTAAATATTGCCCAATTAAACTGTACAAATATTGTCTTATTAAAAATCAACACTTTGAGAAATCAGTATCAAATGCATAAAACCATTGATGAGTGGTTTTTGGTTTCTTTTAGAAACAAAACTTGAGTAGGCTAGGCACATAATCATTAAGAACGTAATTTATAATATTGCTCTTAAAACCAATCTAAAATGACTGATTTTTATTAAAGGATTACAAAGAGCGGAGGTTTCCAAATGGTGTTTCGCAGAACCTTAGGATTTCATATATGAGTCTCAGGGGTTCCGAGAGATAGGACGTTTTAAATCAGTTATAATTTTCAAAACCTGTTATTAAATTTATACCTAAATAGTTATCTCTTATTTATTTAATATTTCTGGTATTTTTAAAAAATTATTATTTAAATAAAATACTTCTGCAAAAATAAAGTAAAATTTTAAAAAATCTATTTTCTAGTAAGACTATATTGAATGAATAATGAATGCATAAATAAGAAATTGCAGTAGTATTTTGCAACAAATAAAAATTACAATGAAGTATGTTTTGCTGATAGCCATTTCCTGATAATTATTTTTGCCAATTTTCATTTTTATTTCAACGAAAACCATATTTCAGATAATTTATTTTCAGTTTATGCATGCAGTAAATTCAAATATGTACTATACTAGATGTCGCTCCAGACCTGTAAATTCAAGTTTCAGACATAAAACTAAGTTCAAAGACTAGTATTGATAGAAAGAAAGAATGAAAAACTTTCATATTTCATCCATTCATTAAATATTCAAGTCCATCTTTGAATAATATATTTACAATCACTAATGAAATTTATTCAATAAGCTTGAGGTTTTTGTTCTAAGAAGGTTGATAATTTATAGTTCCATAGTAAAAAAAATATTTGGGAACCGCTGATGTAAAAAAATTTTGCCAGCAAATTAAATAAATAAATAAGAGAAAAAAATTGCACATTCAGGGAACATTTTATTAACATTTAATTAATACTTTTATTTATTTCTTATCCAATTCATTACTCCAGCAAAAAATAAAATTATTTAATTTTAGACTAATATGAAAAGTTTATTTAGAGTGTCACTTTATGAGTAAAAAAATTTCATAATCCTGAAACATCTATAGCAAAAAATAAAGCAACATGATAACGGCATAAGAGTATTACTCTCTTTTCCATAACATAATTATTGAAAATATTCATCTTATTCGTCTCTAGTATCCAAATATAGCACTTTTTGTATCTAAATATACTAAAAATCTTTTAAACTAACAGCAACTACAATGATAAAACATCAATTAAAAAAAATGAAGATATAGAAAAATTTTAGACTTTTCTGAAAAATCACATCATATTCTTTTTGAAAAGGTGGGACATTTTTTCAAAAAACAAAACTAAAAAGAGAAAAGTATTCATATAAAAATTTAGCTACGAGGTGCATTCATTTTCTTATCCCTGCAATTTCAGTGTAACATTTTTACTGTAAAATTTTATAAACAGAGCTTCGAGTTGAATTTTTATATTTATTTATTTGAAAAAGACTTACATTTTTCAGCAATTTCCTGTTTAGCTTTCTCAACACCGCCATGATTTTCTAAAAAGTCATAGATAAAATTTCGAGTTTCAAGGTCATTTAATTCTTTATCTGACACTCCAGCTAGTGTGAAGAATACTTTTAAATCTTCATCCACATTTTCGATCTGTTTAAAACAAAAAAAAAAGGACATTATATTAATGTTAAAAAAAACTACAGTATATTATAAAAACAATTTAGTGTAGAAGTTGACTGAGAAAATGACTTTATACATTTATATGAAATATACATTTGAAATATACATTTATAAAAATAAAAAACTTATTAACTTACATCAAAGCCTTTTTTAGGATCCCATCCAACATGTTGCACATGCCTAAAAAAAGTTTGAAAAAAGTTAATATATTTAGAGTAATAACAATTATAGCTTAATAACAAAAACTTTTCCATTTTATATAACTAAGTTAACATTTTAATATCAATGGGAAAATGTAACATTACATGAAATGTTTAATACTATATATATATACAATGATTGAAAACTGTTGCTTATGGAAATTTCTCTATTTTAGAAAATGGGAATTAACTACATTTATTAAGTTAATAGCAACATCAATTATGAAATGAAAGAGAAAGGATAAACACCTTTTACTATTTAGTATATGTTTTTTACTGTGTGAAATGAATTTATTTATAAACCGTCTCATAAGTGATAGGGAGGAAAAAAGTTGTTTTTGAATAATTAGTGAAAAAAAGCTAATTTAAAAAATATTTTTATCAATTTAAAAAAAATCTTAAGTATGTCATCTGTGTCATAAATTCATTTATTCGAAATTTATATCCCTCAAAATATTTCGATTTTTTTTTCTTTTATAAAACAAAATATGAGTAATTGGTTATAATTAAATTAAAAAGGAAATAAACATTTGTTTTAGACAAACCAAAAAGTGCAAGTTATATATCGTATTAAAGTTTTGTACTTTAAAATACTACTTTTACAAACAAAAAACTCACATAAAATTTGTTGGAGTACTTATATCATCCTTTGTTAACTTTTTCTTTTTCTTCTTGTCCTTTTTTGTATCTTTACCATTAGCAAGCGATTGAGTCGATTGTGATTTCGCTTCTGTAATTTCAGGAAATATTTAAGCAATCTTATTATAATATATAAAAGTAAGCTTTTTATGGTGCAGAAAAAAAAACAGTTTTTAAAATGTTCCAAAAACAACAATGCAAACTCACTAGCAGCGATATTAATCCCAGCATTTGAAGGTTGAAGGCTGTTTTGTTGCACACGTTTTCTTTCTATAAGGAAATATGCAAATTAAATAGTAATGGTGAAAATCACATTAAATAAACATTTATGACATAATGTAACTGAATAGGTATTTGAGAAGTCTACATAAATTAAAACATTTATAAGAATAACATGTTCAGTAATTTTAAAACATACAAAACAATGTATAAGAATAAATTGTTATTTAAAAAAATCTTAGTATGTTGCATAATTTATGATTATAGGAAGAAAACAATAAGAGAACTTTAAAACATAATAAATAAATCCTCATTTAAAATTCACAGTTAATTTACAGAAGCTAAGATGGCTTAACCCCTTACAGTCGGTTAATTTTCAAGAAAACGGTCATAAAAGTGTCTTTTTTTTACACACACACATATATTATACACGTATTTGATTAGTGCTGACATCTAGTTTAAAATAAACTAACTATCTACAATTACCTTAAAAATATCCTGGTACTGCCATCTGGTGTGTAAAATGAGAAATAAAATGTTTTCCGGGCAAAAGAAATGAATTAGTTTTATTCTTATTGGCGCGTTACTACTGAACACTCCAGCCCGGGAATATCACGGGAGTGAGAAATAGAGGACGAAACCTCACCTCGTCATTTTCACGGGAGCAGGAGGAAGGGGTTACAGAATCATAAAGTGTTTACTTCTAATTGGGCTACTACTTATCCAGAAAAAGTAAATGGTTTTAAAGACGAGTAACTGCTTATTCAGAATATAATTGAATGGTAGAAAGGACAGTTCATTTCTAGAAACTATCATTGTTTATTAACATTTTCATTATATAAATGTTACTTGTGAATTCTCAGTCACTATCCATCAATGACTAAGCACCTAACCCTGTTTCTCATCACTCTATCTGTTAAAAGCCATAACACATAATTTTGATCCCCGTCAGTCAACTGCCCACAGAACCTGATAACCCCTCCCTACAAACTTCCACACACAACCAAAGTGAGGTCTTTCTGCATATACATGCAGGTTGTTTAATAGAGTGCCAGAACCAAACTTCCAATCTTGGTTCTCCACCAAGAGAGTGAACAATATCTTTACTACTGGAGTTATCAACATTCACATGCCAAAATAAACATTATAACTGTTAATAGGTAATAATAGCCACAGATTAGCTTTTCCCATAAAAACATAACCTCTCGCTAAAAGTTCTTTAACATTTCTGGATAAAAAGTAGTCCTATCTGAATTCTGCCAATGGCTGATTGGCTCACATAATGCTCCCAGTTTACACCAACCATAGTATTCAAAGAAAGTACTCCCCAATATTAGAGTGATTAGAGGTTTGAAATCTATAATAGACAAGTTAACCAGGAAAGTGTTTTGTTAACTTTATTCTCGGTGACACATAAAAAGTCAGCTAGGAATGTGATCCTGATAATTGATATAGGAGTTACATTGTCTTCTAAGTCAAGTTTAATATTGCAACATTATACAATTGAACATTTAGGGTTGCACATTTAATATATGAATCAGTTGTTTAGGATATTAATAAAATAAACTTATTTGAAAACTACACTGAAGAAAAACAAGTTAAGACAATGGTAGTCATAAGAATAAAGAGTATAAAAGCAAAAAAATTTTAATTCTAACTTTCAAAGGACCTTGGAATAAGATTTGGTTGTTTTTTGCTTATCAAACCTTTTATTGGGTGAAATTCAATAAAGAAACCCTGCTCAAGCTTAAAAAGAGAATATTTTAGAAGAAACATACAAATTAAGTTTTTAAAACAGAAATAGACATCTTAAAAATATCAAACAAAAAAAATTTGATCACAGACATGATTCAATTAATGAATTTCCTATTTATTGTTTACTTTATCAGATATTGATTGAATGACATCACGAGTAATAAACTCTTATATTTCAGTAACTCAAAAGTTTAAGTGTGTATCTTAATTACACCATGAATTTAATATTTCAGCTTAATAAGACATTTAACTTAGAAGCTTAAGATTTTCTGAAAGTTTACAAGATATAATAGAAAGATATCAAATCAACTTATTGAAAATTATTGTAATAAAAAAAAAACAGTATTGCACAAATTTATAAAGCAAGTGTTTACAATTGTTAAACTAGCAAATAAGTTCAAATTTCATATTTCTTGATACTAATAAACATTATTTCTAAATTATGTACCTCTCTTCCTTTCATCTCTCATTTGAAGTTTCTTTTGAACAGCTGATTTGAAATTCATAGCTTCATCATTGTCAGCAAAATTTAAACCAGCCATACAATTCTGTGGGTAAACAAAGTATGAATTCAGTGAATAAAGTAGCAAAAATTATAAGTAGATTAAAAATAAAAAAAGTAACAGAAGGTCATTTTTATTATATATATTTCTTAAATTTATTTTATAAGATAAAGGTGCTTTTTTTAACATCATTCAGGGTGCATAGCCAAATTATTCAACAAAAAATAAGCACCTTTTCAGCACTTTTCAAGCACTCAAAAAATATTTTTAAGCACTTTAAAAAAATATTAATCAGGCTGGGTTGGGAAGTTTTTGACAATTGACGGTTTTATCTTGTTTTAACCGCCATGTCAAAAAAAAATCTATTGGCATTGTTTTTGACAATTGTCAAAAATCATGAGATTTTGAATCATGTAAAACAAAATGGCATTTTCATACGCTACGGACTGACAATACGTCGAAATAGATTGGGGTTGAATTAATTGTGAAAACATTGAATAGAACAATGTGAACTTTGACTTTTAGCATAATTCGAAGTGAAAATCAACATAGCAAAGGAAAAATCTCATTTTGAAAAAGGGAAAGTTAAGCACTTTTTAAAAAACGCCCAATGAAAAAAGCACCTTTAAGGGCTTTTAAAAAATGAAAATCAAAAATAAGCACCTTTAAGCACTTTTTAAAAACGCTATGCACCCTGTCATTAGTACTGAATATTTTACCTTAATTATGCAATATGGCAGAACTCAAAAGGAATACTTTGTTAATTTAAAAACTGGCTGAATTATTTAAAAATATTAAAACAAAAATCAATTTTGAAAGATTTAAAATTCAAATTTATTTACAGCATTTTATAAGGAAAGATACTAAATATGCTATTCAATATAATATCTTAAAGAATTAAATGATTGGTATGATGTCATTTTATATATTTTGAGTAAATAAGTTCCATCACACTTATTAAAACTTAAACCCAAAAAACCCTTTAAAAAATGATAAATTTCAATTAAATTTAAGCCTTCATTATTATATGCATTTAAAAAGCTTACATAAAATTTTATTTTCAAATTATTATTTATATATGTCTTTGAAAAGTGTATTGGCTTCTGAGAAAAAGTTTAAAATATTTTTAAGACACTGGAAATGAATATTAACATAGTTTCAGTACTTTAAAGATATATGTAATAAATTTTACTAAAACTTTCATCCAAATTTACTACTGAAATAAAAAGTTGTAATGAATAATTTTAAAAAAGACATCAAACTAAGCATTATGACAAATTCATTTCAAACAAATCAATGAAACAAAAGATTGAGATTAAAAACAAAGAATTTTTTTTTTTTTTAATTCATACATTAATACCCATTATATAGCATAAGACTTTGATACATGAACTGTTTTGATTAATATAGTATTAAATAACAAATTATAACTTTCTTGAAATAGTATTTTAAGTTTTTATTTTCTTATACTTTTATAAGCCTAACAAAACTAAGTTCTATTCTAAGATTAATAGCCATAAATGTCTGGAAAGAAATTATTTTATGACAACTTTATATTTAATCATTATTTTCATGTTAATGTAAAAAAATATATATATATTAAAGCATGAGAATTTTATGAAATTATGAATGAAAAAATTAATATAATTTTTTTGAAATAAAAATAATTTATTTAAAATGCTAGTTTGAATAGTATCTAGTTTAAAAGATTAACACTAAAACTAACTCTATGTATTTAAAAAAAAAATAAACTTATTTAAATTATTAGGCAGAATTAAACTTACATCAGCTTCAAAAACATGGAAGAATGTACAAGTTGGTTTGTATACAAAGGGTGTATATAACTCTTGCTCCCAAATCCAGGCTGATTTCTGAAAAAAAAGTTATGAACTTTCACTTTTGATATTTAACAAAAAGAAATATTTATTATAATATGCATTTTACAATAATAAAAAGCATAAAATGAAACAACTACAAGTAAATTCACACAGTATTTACAATCACATAATAATTAAAGATAAATTTAAGTCTAATCTAACTTACATCCATATCAAACAATTTTATGAAGTAAGCACGACGCTCATTATCCTTCACAAAGCATATAACTCCACAACATTTCTTACACCATGCTGAATGATGAGGTTCTTCGGTCAAATACAGTTGAACAACAGTTGTTGCAAGAGTCTAAAGAAAACAAATGTTGTCTAAAATAAGGCATGTACAAGGCGCCTCAAAATTCAAACACAAAGTAATTTATGTAGAAAAGAAGATTGAGAATTTTCAACTGATTCATTAAGTATCTAGCATTAGGTTATTTATAGAACAGCATTGCAAAAAGTGACTTAGCTGCGATGTACACACTCTTATGTCTTTAATTCAACAAATATGCATTAAACAAATATGACAGTTTTGAATGAGTTTGAGTGATATCAACAAAATTTCACTAATCTCATTCTTCAAATGGTGAGAGATTTTGTGCTTATTCTCATAAACTCTAGACTTCTAGCCTTAAACTGTATAATCTGGGCAGACAATCCTGCTCACCAAAATGCAAAAACCGTTAGAGAATGTCAAAACTATACTCAAAATATTATTCAATAATAAAAATCTGTTGTTGTTTTTTTTTCATAGAACTTTATTTTTAATAACTCTGAACTGTCAGCTGTTTTTGGTGCAGAAGTTATTGTTTTAATTTTGCACAAATAGAACAAAAATTAAAATTTGGCCTGAATTTCCAAACTCACTTTAATAAACAAACGTAAGATACAAAACAATTAAGATTTCAATAAATAAAATCACTCAATGATAATAACTTTCAATAGAAAAAAAGCTTTACATTTTAAGAATCCTCCTCAGTCTTCACTTATTATCCTGAATTTTAGAAGTTAATACACTTTAATAAACAAACGTAAGATACAAAACAATTAAGATTTCAATAAACAAAATAAAATCACTCAATGATAATAACTTTCAAAAGAAAAAAAGCTTTACATTTTAAGAATCCTCCTCAGTCTTTACTTATTATCCTAAATTTTAAAAGTTAAATGTTTTTGATTTTGTTTTATCATTTCTTTAAGTTCTTAATAAGCTTTTGACTATAGTGTATTATTGCTGCACAGTGCTGTTAAAAAAAAACTTGGGAAATAAGGGCTTCAATTTATAAAATCTAGAGTAACGGCATTGGACAACTTTTAAAAATTGTCCAATACCAGTTAAGGAGTTTTTCTCAAAAATTTAAAGTAAAGAAATTATACAGTTGATAATTTTAGATCAGAAATTTATGACTTTAATTGTTAAAAATAATTGCAATCTGATATATAAACATGTTTGAGAATGAAACAATTTTAAACAAAATCATAAAATAATGCCAATCTTCAAAAAGTCAGTAAAGAATATTGTAACAGGTCTAATACATGAACAATTTTAATGATGACTGCCAAAAAAGAAAGACATGTATAAAATTATTAGGAAAAAAATCTACAAACATGTACTACACAGATTATTGCATATTTTTTTTTTTTTTAACAATTCAGATTGCTTAAGCTTAACATTGTTGCTTGGAAAATATTTTATTCAATTACCTGGGTTTTTAAATTATATAATTGTTCAATTATAAATTATGTTTTTCAGATGTTATCTTCAATTATGTTATTGTTATTATATGTTATGTTATTAATATGTATCTCCTTCAATTATGTTATTCAGCTGTATATTAAAGGAACATAAAATAAACAGCAGCAATTTTAAAAACATAACATTTTTTAAACAATTTAATCACATATGATTAGATAGTGTAAAACATAACTATAGGGTTAAGAATGTAATAAGAAAATTTAAAATTAACATGCTAAACAGAAATAAATCTAATAAAATGAAATCTTTAAAATCAAAAAAGAAATCACATAAAAAAATTTATTTAAAAAAGTTGAAACTATACTTTACCGTGCACTGTTTTCCCAAACTGTAAAATATTTTTTGATTCTCCTCAGGACTCAAAAGATTACTTGGAAAATTTTGCACTTTTTTAGATTCTGATGTCATTTTTGGTTTCATCAGGAGAACCTAAAGTTTTCAAACAAAATCAATTAAATGTAAAAACTAAATTCAATCAAATTAAGCTTCAAATTTTTTTGTTCATCCAAGGTTTGAGTGAAAAATAAGAAAACTTTGTTTAATGCAACAGGAAAATGTAGCTCTTTAAAAAGCCTTTTACATGTGATTTCTACTTATTTTAAATATTTTAAAGAAAATACTGACTTTTAACAGCTAGATACATAGATTATAATTTTAAAAAAACTCTGATATTTAAATCTTACAAAAAAAATATTAACTTTACCATGCATCATTAATTTTATAACTTTGTTACAGCTGCTTAGTTTTTTTCTTAATCAAAAGCTCAGAAATTTAAAATGCTTAATGGACAGATTCTAAGGAATAGAAATTAATCTGAAAAATTTTATTTAATTATTTTCGTTTTATGGATGTGAGATGATAAAGATCATTACCAAGGGTATTACAATGCAGCTATTCTTGCCAACTGAAATAATCAAGATTGAAGCTTAGCATATGGGTTTTTTCTCTCCTTTGTTTGGAAAAATGCATCGTAGCTTCATTCAATTTACGTTTATCATGTATATTTACTACTTCAGTTTCTTGAGATTATTTATTAATGAATAGTAGCTTAGTCATACTTTCATTTTTAGTTCTTATCAAAAATTGGAAACCATATCAACATAGATACAAAAATCTAAATCTCCTCTCTTTTCCAAATTGATTCCCATTTTTTTAATATAATTTTTAAGATTCAGTTAATATTAGGGTTGGCATAAATCACTTGATTATTTAAAAATATTATTAATTCTAATCAGCTATTTTTTTAAATCAATGATTTAAGTAGAAAATATTTTTACACAATATATTTTAAAAACATATTTTTAAAATTGCGATTATTTATTTATTTTAAAGTTTGATAACATTCATCTCCAGAGATAAGTTAAGTAAAAAACAAACAAAAAATGAAAATAGAAATTCAACTATGTTATGAGCAGACCACATTTAAATAATGATACAATTATACCTGAAAAAGCATGCAAAAAAAAAGAATACAAGTAGCATATACCCATAGATTATTATCAACTTTTTAATAAAAAAAATATTGATACATGAATTTGGTTAAACGTGTAAAAACCATTCTCAATGTCTGATTTTTTTACTTGAGGAATACTAATCCAGATGTGCAATTAAATAACCTTGTGGAGCCAGGCATGGTGCGTAGTCGCCAAAGGAATCAGCAGGATGACGTACACAGGATCGGCAACCTTGTACCTTTCTTCAGTATTTAAGAAGCTTCAAACATTGCTCTGAGCACACTCACACTTAACTTTTCTCGGTTTTTTATCTTATTGTTATGTTTCAGTTGGTAATAAATGTTTGTTTGATTTTGTCATAGTTGTCCTCAATTTAATATGAGAGGGTTCCTTCAACCTGAATATGAATCATGCAGTATAATTTTAAATTTCGTGAATACGAATCGCAATGTGTAATTTCAAATCATGTAAATTATTATAATGATGTGTGATTTTAAATAATTTGTATGTAATTTTAAATTCCATTTTCATAGATAAGCAAAAGCATGAAAAATTGTGTTTTATTCAAGACTTCGAAAAAGTAGAATTGCTCGAAAGCACAGTATTTCTTCATATAAAATAGAAAAAAAATCTGAATTCCCCTAAAAAGCAGAAAAACTCAGTCCTGAATGAAGGTTTAAACCAGAGAAATAATTAGAGGAAATTAACATAAATTATTATTGAACATTCAAAATTAATTAATGAAAAAGGACTATATGTTGGGAAAAGTGACATGGAACTGCAAAATTAGAATTTTCCATTAGTTGTATGTAGGTATATAATTTACTTACTGTTAAACAAACACATTTCAATCACAACCGTTTAATTTTATGAACATTTAAAACTTATGAAATAAATAGTTCCTGCAAATAATTTGAAGAAGAAATTTTTTATTTATTTTTTATATTTCCATATTGAAATAATTCATTCTTCACTTGTAAACTAACTCAAATATTTAAAAACTTTGTAAATTCATGAGATTGTTCCCCAAGCATAAAACAATGACGATATTATTTATTCAGTGATTAATTTGTAATAATTTAATATTTATTTTAATCACTTTAGTTAGAAAATTTAGTATCTTAGCTATTCATGCGGTATTCATCAAAAAAAATATTTGCAGTTAAAAACTTAAGGAACCTACCAACATAAATTTAAAATAAAAGTTTATCGCAATTTGCCATAAGCATATCAAATCTTATAAATAAATAGAAATAAATTAGTCATGATTCCAGCAACATTATTGATACATGTTTGTAAATAAATATATTTGCATGATCCTACTATGTTTTAAGTCATTAAAACATCTTATTCCCACAACAGACAATGAAAACAAATTTATCGACAAGACAAGAAAACCTTTATAAAATTCGTCATTTATTTTAATAGATTCATTAGACAAAAAATCATCTAGAACAATTATACTTTTAATTGATAACTGATTTCTTAAGTTTAATAAATTATGCCAAGTAAGCTTAAAAGAAAAATAGTTGGCATAATTTAATAAGTTATTACAACAGATCTCATATTTCAGCACATCGATTCTCACGTCATTGAAAAATGACACTTAAATCAAATCTGAAACATTTCAAAAGCATTTTTTCTACACGACAGAAAACACGAAAAATTCTAAATGATTTCAACTAAAATCATTGAGCATTTATAAAGCAATAAATATGCTTGTGATTTTTATTTACCTTTTATTACTTGTTTACTCTAACATTACAGTACAAATTATAATTTTAACTATAAAAGGAGCATTTAACTATTTGTATATAACCATGAGTAATATATTTCAGGCGGTTAGGAATTTTGATAAATCGTATGAGTTATTACAATTTCAAGATTGCAACAGCAATAAATTAGGTATTTTTTAAAGTTCAGAATAACTTTGCTGTATTGATGATATGAAATAGTATTAACATATAAATATAATTCGTAAATAAAAGTAATTTATCAAAACCAAACCAAACGCCCACATCCCGTCCAGAAAACCGAATCAAATTATTGATACATATTAGTTAAAATAGATTTTAAAAAAATGTCTATACGAAGGGGCAAAATTATACAAATCAATGTCTGAGAAATTATCGAATTTTTAGAGCTTGAATCAAAAAATTACTAACGTTATCTTACTTTAATATCAAGGCAAGATTTTAAGTGCCAAACACTAATTCAGGTCAAAAAATAAACAAACAATGAGGAGAAAACTATCTTCATTTCACTTGTTTTCATTTTTTATGTCATGATGGCCGAGAGAATAAGGAAAATTGATATGGATCGCATGAAGCTAAGCGCAGATGGCACTAGGGGTTAAAATTCGTCAAAAAACTTCAAAAAACGCACCATCCAATATTATTATATTATACTTGTAGTGTTTATCAATATAACGCGTTTTTTCAATATAACTTTCAGCAAAACAAACAATAAATTAATTCCGCAAGCCTGCTTTAATGCTGTTCAAAAAATAACAAACGGTGCTATTTTACTCAAATATAGCCAAATTAGGGATAACACTAGAAAAAAATATGGCTAATCTTACACTTTTTTTAACCTGTCATATTAATTTTGTTGAAATTGGTTAGGTTCACGACCTTTTGGAATATATCAACTACAGGAAAACTCTTATGAATGGTAAAATTGCACTTAAATTATAGTGCAAATCACAATAAAACTTCCTATAATATTAAGCCTGTTCACACATCACCTCGTAAGCATAACATAAAGCGGAGGAGTACAACGGAAGTTTTCCAAATTTTTTCTGGTTTTATAAGCTTGTTATTGTTTACATTTAGTCAAGCATTGTGACTGTCTCAAGATAGAATATTTACATTGTATACGATTCACATTTGGGAGAACTCTTAACATCATTTTCTACGATTATAAAGACAATGGTCCCTGTAGCGAAGCGTACAATACTTTGATGGCATATATGAACACTAATTTTGGTAAGTTGGTTGCTCCTGGACGAAAAATTCTTAAGTTTTTGTATGAATGGTGTTTTCAATCAGTTCCGTCTTTACGCATGGGCACACCCGGGCAGTGCCCAGGGGGCCCTTAAGAATCTTACTTTTTTTTAAAAAAATTACTAATAATAAACAACTTTGCATTATATAATTTTTTAAATAAATCCCAAATAGCAAAATATGGTTTATTTTCACTCAGCAAAAACCTGTTAATGTAAACCTAAAAAGGTTGGTTATGCGTCTTACGACGTGTAAATCTTCTAACCTTAAAACGAGATCTGTGGCTATCTGCTCTATTCTACGCACATTACCCTAGTACAAAACCTTGGAAAACGACCTTCTGTATAAAAACCTTAAATCGAGGTTGACTTAGAGTTTTGAAGCGTGAAAAAAATCCTTTAATAAAGCTAGTCTCAAGGTGAAAATACTCTTAAACCTTTCNTATGCCTAGTTTAAAAATGCTTTATTTTATGTGCATTGAGTTTTTGGGGCTATAAAAATGTGTTTAACTTTGTTAAAATTATTGCATATCTTAAAAATGCTTAATTTTCTGCATGTGAAGTTTTTTAGTTCTATTTTAAACAGTATGAAATGTAATAAGGGGCCCAAAATATTTCAGTGCCCGGGGGCCCTGCTTGCTATTAAGACGGCCTTGTTTTCAATAGAAATGTAAACAATAACAATCTCGAGCTCGGCACCAACTCTAGTTCCGGTTAAAAAGTTTGCAGCTGCTTACTACATGTTATTCTGATAGGCGATGTTTTCAAACGGATAATTTTGTGTTCAATAAAAGAAATAAATTAGATAATTTCAGAGCTCAAATCTGCCGTATTTCATAAGATATTAATGTTATTATGTAATTCTGGGGAGTTTGGAGTGAAAATCTATTTTAGTTATTTTGTTATTTATTATTAAAAAAGGTAACATGGTTGCTAGATTTTGAATAACTCGCTTTTTTGGCAGTCTTGATTTGGCCTCTTTCCATTTGCTTATTACTGTTTGTTCGTGTTGCAAGCTGTGCAACATCTTACGTTAGTGTTAACACTTTTAGTATTGTAAACACAAGTATTGTGAGCATTGTAAATATAAGTAATAAATAATCAAATACATTGTTTGCAAGAATCTCAAAACACAATGATGCCAAATGGCTTTAAAATACAACGGAAACAGTAATCAGGAAATTTAGGCAGTCCAGAACTTGCAGCGTTCCCTAGTGTAGAAAACACCATCCATTCACTTTGAAAATTATAGACTTATATGGCGATCGAAATGAGCTGCAGGTGGCGTTGAGCAGAACTCTCTACCTATGGCAACTCTTCACATGCTTTTCCCATTAGCGTGCGGAGAGTCATAGGAGAAGGAAGTAGGTTAGTTTTTCTCTTGATTTTCATACAGATTAAAATCTTTTAAGTTGGAACACTATATGGAACTGAAAACTACATTAAGCATATAGTTCTAAAGAAAAGCATCACGGAAATTTTAAAAAATATTTTTTTTTTTTTTTTTTGTAAAAAGGAAGAACATTAAAAAAAGGGAAAATATCATAGTACATTCCTATACAACTGAAAAAAGGAGGAGAGGGAAATAGAAGGGCTAAAGACATGAAACCGGTTTCTCCCCAGATGGCGTATTCGATTGTTGCGATCGCCAATAAGTGCTTAAGGTTATAAAAATATAATAAATTTTGAAGCGAGAAAACTTTTAGATAAAATAATAAAACATTTTTAAATTAAAGATTATTTCAATTAGCTTGAATCGCACTGAACAACATAAAACAAAATAATTATATATGATTTCTTCACTCAAAAATTGAAATAAAATTTAAATAGATATTATGTGACAAGATGAAACAGATGGTATTCTTATTTTCTCTTCTTATTATTGTACGGAAAGCTCGGCGATGTTTACTGCTAAGAATCATATTGTTTAATTTAAATTTTCGTTAATGTTTTATTCTTACTTCATTCGTGATTTGCGGTAATTTTCAGCGATTCGTGAATTTCAGTTTGCTTTTTGAAAAGGATTCTTAATTCAAAAGCTTCTTCAATTTAATGCTGCGAAATTTGAATGAAATATTTCTTGAATACTAAGCAGCTGATGGTTCAATGGAGGAAAAAATAAATTTTTCAACAAATGGGAGCTGGCCAATACTGATAGCATAGCACTATTTATTCAGGCATACCACTTTTTATGTTAGGTATTTTTAGCTTTTAGGATTAAAATGTATTTCAGAGAGTTGCAGGTATGCGATCGTCGGTGTTGAACAGCACGATGCGGTTATGCTAAGCGAGTCCNGGGCGCTGCGCGGCCCAGGTGCCCAATTTTTTTATAAATAAAGTAAAGTAAGCAGAGAGTTGCAGAGAATAAGTCTTATAAAAGATCTCACTGATAACCGAGTTTGTTTGGTGTTGATATTAAAGCAAGGAATACTTTTGCAGAGATTTAAATACTCTTAAAAAAATACTCCTCTTACTTTCTTTCATTTGTAAGTGCTACAGAAGCCAGACTGGTCAATAGGAAGCAGCGAAGAGGTGAGTTCGTATAAGGTGCAGGTAATTATAAAGAGGGAGGGGCAAAGCGGCGAGTCCATGCATGGCTTTATTTTCATCCCTTTAATTTGTTTCTAAAATACCAATGCCATAGAATCTGAGCAGTACTACAGCATGTAGCAGAATCAATGAGGGACAGCGAAGTGGTGACTCTGTGAAAGTAGAAAATAATATGGGATCACAAAGCGGTGAGTTCGTGTCGACGAACCAGCTGGTCGCTGCAGGTGACTAGTTTTTAGCAAAAACGTTTAAAATAAAATAAAAAGTGTCCACCTATCTTAAAAGATTAATACTTATTTATTTTGAAGTCTGATAATTTTTTCGAGACTAAGCATTTTAAGAGAGTAGAAACTTCTCCGATCTTCCTCTCTGACGGCTGGGTCTTCAAGAAATTTATACGCAGAAAACGACTCATATTAAAAAAAAGGAAAAATAATAAAAATTATAAATCTTAAATATAATAAAAATATAATTCTTCTGTAATAAAAAATTTTATCGCATAAAAATAACAAGAATTATTGCAGGAAATAGAAAGAAAAAAATTACTCAAACAAATAAAACAGAACAAAAAAATAAATATCAAAATATGATAAGCAACTGTTTTATTAAACATTTTTAGCACAATATTTAATACTTTGTTTCTCTCTTGCATATTCCCATATTAATGTGTCTATTAATCTTGTAACAGTTGTACACCAATCTGGTTTCAATCTAGTTCAATGTATAACTTTTTCTAAGTTCTGTTTTTTATACGACAAATACTTTCTTCGCAGCTATTTTTTGTTCCACTTCAGCATTAGTGTAGATTCCAACTTCCTACAATAAATAAACAAATAAATAATGATAAACATCATTTGAAAATAAACAAATAATTATGACATATAGTGTGGTGATGAGTTTCGAATTATTCATTAAATGCCCGGAATCGCAATTATAGATTAAGCAAAAGAATATGTTTTTATTTTAAATATAATTGATAAGAAGGAACAAAAATTGAGTTTTTCCGTTTTATTTTAGATGCCAGATGCCATTAAAATTGATATTCAGAATCATATATGCAAAATATGATATGTTTGGAGGTTGCTATCGAGACATTAAAAATCGGCATGCACACCGTGTGTAACCTTTAATGTGCATATATTTTTTTTTTTTTAACTTTTGAAAACAATTCTGTAAATGTGTATTAAGGACGGTAGTTACGGAACACTATATATGCTGTTAAACTTTAGGTAAATCGACTTAAAATTGAATGAGATGTTTCAATTGCTTGCATGAAAAAAATTTGCTTTAAGAAAATGCCATTCAAAGTTTTCCAAAGATTATTTTATTTTATCTATATTCGCGCGTCAATGCGAAAATCGCTGTTTTTTTTTTTTTTTTTTTCCATTTATATGACTTAAAACTCTTAATTAATTCCAGGAGAAATTTCTTTAATATGCTTGCTATTTAACTTTTAAAAGAAATATTTCTTAGTGGTGTGCCCATTAAAAGTCTACAGGCTAAAAGGATGCGAGTTAGCATTAACAAAGTTGTAGTTTAGTTTATAATATTTTTCCTTTAGAAATACTTTGTGGCGAAATCATCGTACTTGATTCTAAAAGTTCATGCTCTGGCGAACCTAAAATATGCAATCTACGCTCAAAGTAATTTTTGTTATCTATTTNCAAAGTTGTAGTTTAGTTTATAATATTTTTCTTTTAGAAATACTTCAAAAATTTAACCAATATTGTAGCTGTATCAATTTGTTTTTTAAAAAAATTACATCTTGGGTATGTTTAACAAGATCTGAGTGTTGTTTGTCGTGAGATTTGGAAAGTTTGCTTCTTTCTTTTTCTTGCTTCATGGCCGTTGCTTTTCTTTCATCGATGAACTTTTTCGTGTTGTTACTGTTCTTTTCCCTTAAACGCCTGAAAAAATAAATAAATAAAAATTAAAATAGATAATGTTAAGTTTGAAATAAAATTGCATTATCAAGTAACAAAGTTTGAAGTCAGTGCTTAATCTATTGACATTAAAGATAACATTTAAGATTTATATGTTTTTTCTGTTAGTATGCTTTTATAAAGTGATTTTCTATTTCAAAATGTAATTGGTTTTATTCTCGTTGGTAAGAACTTTTAAAAACAATCAAAAACCATTAAAAAATAAGAAATTTATTGATTTAACGCTTTTTTACAGCTTTATATCATATAATATCTTATTATTTCTTCGTCATCGAATTTCGTATCATAACCAAGATGCGAAGAAAAACGCTTGAAAAATATCGCAAAATATCTTTAAAAAATTGCTAAAAGTTAAAAATTGTCAGTTTTCTTTAATAATTAAAAAAATTTTAAAAAAATTAATTAAGTTTAATGAACTGCTTTTTTTTAAATTTTTTAATCGCATTTTTGAGTTTACATTCTTCTAAGTTATGAATAGTTTCGAAATCACAACTACATTTTCTGTTATTATTTGAAACTCGGTACTCAGGTAGGAATAGTGATTAGAAAAGTGCGGCTATTAAAAAGATCCTGTGGTACATTTTTTAAGCATCTTTTTCGGACAAGTAACTTTTTTTTGCACAATTTTTTTTTTAACTTTAATGTATCTGAGAGAGAAAAAAAAAACATTTGAAAAATAAATATTATATATCAGCTTTCTTTTTTGCAATATACCGGGTGTTCCTCCTGCTTTTTTAGAATTTAGGCCAAAAACGAAGTAAAACCTCATACTCATTGCATATTTAAATAAAGAAAAATTATACAAAAACATAATCGAAATTTAACGAATCGTTACTGTAAGCATTGTGGTAACGATTCGTAAAATTTTGATAGCATTAAGTTGAGAGAGGAGTAAATAACAACATGAAATCTGTTTGTTTTTTTTTTCCGAAGGGAACAGAGGGAAGTTGGCGAGCAATTATTAGAAGCATCTTCAAGCATCTTTAGGCTCTAAAACTGGTTTTGATGTCTTTCATTCAACTTTTCTTACTAGGCTCATTTTTGGAAATGATTCTAAAAACATTTATAGAATATATTAAAGTCAAAGCACACTGTATATTAAATTTCTGACTTCAGTGTTTCTTCGACAAATCTTAACTCGTAGTTTTGCTTTTGTTCGAGATTCTCTTCAGGTTCAGTATTTGCTATCTTCAAGATGTTTACAGAGAGTGATCGCGCTTCGCGTTCCGATGCCGCAGGTCCGGGGATCTATTCTCGAAACCAAGCAAGGTAGCTTCAGCCTTACCCCTTCAGTGGGTAGATAAAATGAGTACCAAGCATGCTTGGGTCAAGACACTGGGGATTCCGAGTTAGGCTGACCACCCAACCGGAATATCTGATATTGAACCCCAGAGTCCAAAGTCAAGAAAACTGAGATAGACACAGTAGCCCTCAATGGGTTGTGGCACCACAGAGTTTAGTTCTTTTTTTGTTCTCAGGTATATAGTTTAAAATTCACTAACATACCTTTCTCGTTCAGCTTTATTTCTCAACGTTCGATCATTTGCCACTTCTTTAGCTGTTTCAACCGATATCTTAGCTTGTCTGGTTTTCATTTCCTTGTTGTCACTAAAATTAAGAATATTTGATCACTTAACTTATTTAAAATGTATGTTTTTTATACATGTTTTTAATCAACATTTTAATGGGTTGCATGAATAAGATTTATCGGTTAAGGACAATTTAATTTTTAAATTACTTCCATATGAAAATAACCTAAGTCTTTCAGAGTAAACTTTAAGTTGCATATTATTTTCAAAAAGAAAATTAAAAGTGGTTGAGTTGTTTCTCAGAAAAATATCGTCTAAGCTGGCCATTATGAACGTACGACTCCCTTTAAATTAAAATAAAAGTTTTCTTTTTTTTTTTCGAATTCGAAAAACCTCTTAGAATTTATAAAGAAACCATGTGAGATGGTGTAACTTATTTGCATCTTTTTTAGTGTGTGGTTTATTTTTTACATTTCTTAAAATGCGTACAATATGTAGTCAAAATCAGTTGGTTCAAGACAGCATCAATATGGCATTAATAATTTAATTGAATATAGTTATTTATCTTCAATTTCGAAACAAAATTTCAACAAACTACTCAACTCAAATGCCCCATTTGTGAACATAATAAAATAAAATGAATTAAAATATAGCAAATGTTTAGTAAACAGTTTATTTTTAATAAATGCATACTTATGTTTTTCCTTGTAAAAGTCTCTCAAACGTAATTATTAGAATTTTAAAACGTCAAAGTGTCTATTTTTCTGACAATATTTTTAAGTATTCTACATTTACTTTCTTAAAAGTTAGTTTGTCTTCAATAAAAATTTTATAACGCCCTGCAAACATTTCAAATGCTTTCAGTTCAAATATTTGTCAGAAATATTGACCTAAACTCAAGTTCAAACTCAACTCAAAACATACTGATTATATCGCGTTACAATTAAAGGTCAGAAACAATTATAACGTTCTCAGCACATAGGATATATTTTATTACCAATCTCATCGTTAATATTTAACCCAAAATTAATTACATTTGGCAATAATCATTTCAAAAACGTAAGGCTGGCTTGATTTAAGAAGCGAACGCGTAGGCAAGGCGAATTCCCATACTTTCGCATTTAGTATGACCAGGAATGATGTGAATATCAATATTTATTGTAGAAAAATAATATTAAAGAATCAATATTGAATTTATGATTGCAATATCAATATTGAATAAAACAATTGAAATATTAAAGTATTATTATTTGTTATGGAAAAATACACACTCAAATGTTTTAGGAAGTAAAATATATTTTTTAGATAAGTGAAGTGTTTTTTCTCTGTATAATAATCACTTTGCAAACCGATTTTGACAACCGGGCTGTTTACCATCTAGTTACGCCACAGTTACTTTACCAAGTTTCGTTCGAGATGATAAAATTAACAGTTTAAAGATGTTAACTAACTTGTCAAATTTTTGCTCCAACTGTCTCATCTGTTTCATCTGTTCGACTGTCATGAGTTTATCTAAAATTTCACCTTGCTGATTTGCATGAACCTTCATCATCTCCCATTCCTCCTTTTTAAGTCTTTCATCCAATTCGGTCCACTGCTTCACTTGACTCAGCACAAGCTCTCTCAAAGCAGCATCCTTTGTTACTTCTACTCTAAAATTGAAATGCTGTGATAAATGGCTAAGATCGGACAAAAGCACATAAATCCGAATGCGATTTATCGGCTTTTTGTATCGATCTTGGCTCACATTCAAGAGTGTTCTTAATCAACGCCCTTAATGCAAAGAATATAGATAGGGGAAGAAGGCTAGCTTCCATAGGCGTAATGTAAACCGGTCCCAAAGATTTTGTAAAGTCAAAATTTGGTTTGGTATAAAGTAGTATTGGTAGGCTGAGTATAAAGGAAAAAGTATTATATAGGGCCACAGCAGCAGAGATTCTTCTTGAAACGGGATTACAAGCACCTATCCCCCGACTACTGCTATGGTTGGGGGGTGGTATAAGGAATGTTTTATCTTTTTATTTATAGCTGATTTGTTGCTGTATTTTTGCAATATTTACTAATAACACTGAACTATTTATTAATGCATTTCTTTTAGAATTCATTCATATAATGTGGTTGATTATATCTACCATCACATTTTGAAATAGTGCAAAATAATAAAATCGGGGGAAAGCAGTGTACACACACAACAACCCATTCTGGTGATCTAGTTCCTGACTGTCACTTTGCTTTTTATGCACACGCGCTGAATACACTTGATGCTTTGCTAAATCTAAATATGTTACTCTCTTTGTAATTTACTTTTCTGGTGTAGCATCTCATTCTGAGCAGTTCTCCGTTTTAGTTATGCATTTGGAGAGCTGAACTTCTTGTTCTTTCTATATTCTTTGCTTAATGTGTATTTTTTAGATTCTTGTCAAAAATGAAATCAAAAAGCATACATTTTAGAGTGTGCATTATTAATTGAGTGCAGAAACTCAATCGAATCATTATTGAGACAGAAATGTAAAAAAAGGAAAAAGGAAGAATGAAAGAAGGAGAAGAAAAAAAAAAGAAAGAAAGATAGGAAAGGAAGAAGAAAAAAGAGAGGAAAAGAAGAAAAAAAGAAAGGAAAAGAGAGAAAGAAAAAGAAAGAAAAAGAAGAAGAAGAAAAGAAAAGAGTTTGATTTTTTGATGAAACGGAAGTACTTTTAATAACCGTCTTTAACTCTTCCTTATTCTTCCTGGCAATATAAATCAAATAGGTTTCAAATAGGTTTTAATGTTTTCAATCTCGACTTTTTCAATAGTGATTCAACAGATTTCTATATCGTTTTTGCTTTTAGTCTCTTAATGCTAATGCTCGACACTTATTAAGTATATTTTTTACTTCATTTTTGACAAGTATTCTGAAAATATTTATTGTGTGGACATCACAGGAACACCTTTGTAAATAATAATGACTAATTATGCTTGAACAGAAACTATTTTTATAATCAGAGAAGCAAATTAAAAGGAACAAATGTCTAATAGTTATGTTGAGCCATAATTAAGACAGTTATATTTGTCAAAACAAGTATCAGGGTAATATTAGTTTTTGTTTAAATTATTTGCAAAAGAAATTAATAAATTGATAAATAAAATTAATGTTATATTCACGGATAAAGAAGTAAATGCTTATTTACCTAACATTTCAGAATTTGAGTGATGTCAAGTTTTATGCATAGTATATAAATGATCGAAATTATTAATAAAATCATAATAAGAATATTAATAAAACAGTTATATAAACAGTTATTAATAAAAACTTAAAAATATTAATGTAATATTATCGGATAACATGTTAATGGATTTATTTGAATGTCCCACACGGAAATAAACACAAAATAAAAATTATATACAATACTTTTATCTGAGGAAAAAAAAAATTTCTTGCCTTAACCACTACATGGATTAAAAAAAAATGTGGTTTGTTAATTTTAGATCCAGCCATATTTTTATATAATTAATTTATTGCTGTGGTCACGAATATCTTACTATATTGAAATATGAAATGATATAGAGTTTACTTCGACTGAAAATGCTAAATGAAATAATTCTGCCATTACTTATTTATTTAGAATTTTCTATCTTTTTCCCACAACAGAAACACCTTAAATGATTTCAATTAGATATAGTTAAAATTATTTATCAGCTATACAAAGCAAGAGACCTGTTGGAATGAAAAAATTACCGAAATAAATGCTGAAATGCGAAGCGAAATCAGGATCGTTATTTAGAAAAATTCATAATACAGCATAAAAAAACAACCTTTAGATTAATATTTTATGTATATATATTTCTGTCTTAATAAATCTGTAGTGTTTCTTTCTTTTATTTTATCACGCACCTTTTTCCCAAAAATCCACATTTTACTTTGGCGAATTTACATATTTTAATAGCACATAATAACAACCTACAGGCAAAAAAAAAGGTTTCGTCCATTGACAGTGACGACCGTTCTAATGATTTAGGCAACTTTGGTGACATTTTTAGCAACAAAAACTTTATCAATCTTTCCGAAGCTTCATGGCTTTAAATACATTTAGAAGCAAGAAATTTGAAAATTTACAAGAAACTCGGAAAAAGTTTCCATACCAAAATGAACTGTACATGACGGTTCATTTTGGTTTTCACACATGATTCAAACACATTTTGTTTAGACAGAATCCTGAATCACATAATATCCTGAATCACATAATTTCATTCAATGGACAGAAAGAAAGTTCGCAATGTAAATGTCCCATGAAAATAAGTTGAAAATATATCACATTTTTTGTAAGGTGAATTTAATAATTTTTTTTCCGTTTTATTTTACTTATTTTTACTTACTGTTTTTTATTTTATTTTATGACCGCCGTTGAACAGCCGACCCAATTTTTGGGTTTACGACTACTAATGCTCAACGCCGTAGCCTTGTAATTTTGAACCAATCCAGAAGACAAGGAAACTCCTGGATCGATACCCCCAGAGGTATTGATTTGTTTACTTACTGTTTGTTGCTTTTCAAGTATTTATCAATAGCATTACATTGGAACTTTTGAATAGATGCTTTTTCCTTCTGTTGTCTTTTAACTAAACTGCTGAGGTCTTTCATCTGCTTTCTTCGCAATTTTTGGAAGGGTTTTAAAGCTTTTAATGAATCTTGAGTTATGACTTCTATCTTTTCTTCTATGAAAAAAAAATTACCGTTACTTTAATACAAAACATAATCGAGATTCTAACTTGTTCGAAAGTTGTAATAAGCTTAAGTGCTTTTTCTAGATTTTTGTTAAATTTTTTTCTTTTTTGCTATAAATATTGACTATCTACTGCAGTAGAAAGTTTATTTTACACTCATGAAATGTTCATTTTTTTTATTTTATAAGGTCGTCTGCGAGTAGATTTTCTTAAAAAGTAGCAAAAGTGAAAGAGTTTGCATGTTGCCAGATATAAATCTTAATTTTTACAGTAAAATGTTTCGCGTAATAAAGAGCGATAAAAACAATTTAATATTCGAATTTTTATCAATGGCGTCCATGAGTAAAATTACTTCTCGATTCTTTCTTCTTATTGAATTACACAGTTTGTATTCCTTCGTTAAATTTATTTTCAAGTGCAGATTATACGATTTCAAATCTAGGTAATCGTCAATTTCGTTATGATTAACGTATTAGTAAAATGTTCCTAATTAAAGCTACAATAATTGTATAATTTAAAAACAAAATATACTTGTGGAAAACATTGACGTTTAAGGAAAAGAAAAAAAAACAATAACGATCGAGAAGCGATTACGCGGGTTGGTGATGATAACGAACATGGGGTGGGAAAAATCTATATAAAATCTACCTCTATAAAAAATTGTTATCAGAAAGCGTAATAGTTTATTCGTATACATGACAACATACAACTCATTTTTTTAAAAAATTCATTTAGTAAAACAAAGTTGATTTCTTGATATTTGTTAATTACATAAATTCAATTGATAATTATATAAATTCACTTTATTGTAATAATTGAATAAAGGATTCAATCACTTTATTTTAATAGGTTTATAATTTATTTATTTTAATAAACACGGCGCAAGAAATTAGTTATCTGCTAAAAATTCTCACAACCACTTTTGATTTCTTTGATGGTGAATAAAAACATTGTTCTTTAAATAATAAAAAAAAACAAATGGCAAAAAAATTTCTACTTGGTTTCCTGGGTTATAAGTTAAGGTGGAAGATAAAGTAAGAAACTATACATTTTACAAGAATACGAATGCCTTTGTTCTTTAAGTTACGCGATGAAAAATTATATCTTCGAAAAAGGTACTTATATATATATATATATATATATACTGTGTACTTGNATATAAATTCTGTAACATCCAAAAACATTTAACATTTAAAATAGAATATACCTTTTTTGTCGTCATCTTTTTTGCCGCCAACTTTTACGCTGCCCAACTTTAAATCACTTGTTTGAACATCGGCTTCTTCTATGCCCATAGCTTTCATTTGAGCTACTCGTTTTTCCTGGGCTGAGAGAAATGCTCTAGGGTCTGACAATGCATCCATCAAATCTATTGAAACAAAATTCCAAGACTTAAATTCATAGATAATTAAAAACATATAAATATGTTACATAAAATACCGTTAAGTTACATAAATACAATTTTTTTTAAATACCTTGAGATAAATTAAATAAAAAAATAGCATTGATTTGCAGGGAGTTATAAACTAATGCCCTTTCCCCTTTTCCTACTTAAAAATACATTTCTTTGAGCCTCGAAGCATTTTATAACAATTTACGGTTTTAGACTATAATTATTACTTTGTATAGACTAACTAACTTTGTATATACGGTAAACAAAAGGTTTTTTTTTTTAAAAAAAAAATGGTTGTAAATATTTTCTAGTATGTTATAACATACTAGAAAATATTTACAACCATTTTTTACGGTAATCAGTGATGGCCAGTTCATGTTAAAATATCATATTAAGTTTTAAGGATTTTTATCATTTTAAAAACTATTACATTTGGAATAGAATATAGAACATAATGGTACAAACATCGAAATAGGCTACAATGCTTCCTCAACTCAAAAATATAAACTTTACGCACGGTAAAAGTTAATAAAACGATATTATAAAGCAGTGGTTCCCAAATTTTTTGATCCCAAGGACCCATTTTTATAGTCAAAACTTGTCCATGGAACCCAAAGTGAAAAAGCTACATAAATCCATAGCATAAAATTTACAAATTTAAGGAAACATTAAGTTGAAGAAGTACTTATTGAAATTATAACTTTTGCTTGAAATAAAATTTTAAACAAAAATTATGACTTTGACGAACGCGATGAGGTTTTATGAGTGTATTTATTTACGCCCACCAGCAAATCTCCACGAGCACTTATTTCTAGTCTGTTTCCTTTTTTTTTTCCATGGACACTTGGTTTTATATTAAACCTTGGTCTTTGATTTTATATTTTAAAAAAATTAACTTTCAAAATATCATGAAGTGGATGAAAGGATGAGGTTGAAATGTTGAATTAAAAATAATATTTATTAAAATAATCACAAAACTTTCTTTTACATTTTATAACATACTATCCAAAAATGTGAAGTAATTGATATGTAAAGTATGAGAACCACATGTAAGAAAGCTTACCTCCCAATCCATCAGGTATATATATTTTCAGTTCTACGCATATAAAGAGCATGGACAAAGACAAGGGAAAGTTTCCATCTGTCCTCAGAGAGACGTGCCGATAACCTTAAAAAAAAAATTAACTAATCTAAAATTTACTTAAAAACATTAAATTAAAAATATTAAATTTTAAACGAATTTGCTTAATTTCTCCGACACTTTAAGCCACATACTTTATTCAAATTGCGTACATTTTGAGGTGACCAGAATGAATTTTATTCTCATTTATTTGGGTAGGAATATTCCGATTGAAGCAGGAGATTTCCTGCCAATGGTAATAACATTTAACAAAATGCGTAAAAGTTGGCAGTTATCGTTCTGATAAAAAAAATTAAAACTGGTGGCAGATCAGGAAAAAACTTTCACCAGGAAAATAACATTTATTAAAGAAAGTTCATGTTATAATTGTAATAAAAAATTGAAAATTTCTCTTTTTAGCTAGTTTTTGTTTTGAAATTATATCTTTAAAACTAGCTTTCACTAGCTAGCTGTTAAAATTATACCTCAGTAACCTCAGATTTATTAAGTAAATTTACTTATTTGCAGTTGTCAAAATGATGTGATATACAAAATACAGCGCAAATAAAAAAAATTTAAAAAAAGAAAAGGACACCCTAGTTAATTTTTGATCTAATGATCGGATCTTCACGTTCTAGGACTCAGTCTTCATGGTTCGAGGAGGTCATCTCGAATATGCTAATTAATTAGTAAGGAGGACATTACGATTAAATTACGAAATCAAAGAAAATTTTACCCAAAATTTTAAAATTCTTTTATCCAAAGATATTTCCGAGCAAAAAATAACTTTTAGTAAATATTTATTATTATTTATTATTTCATTTAATAACAGTCGAAGAAATTTTGAATACATGGTATAAAATGTTTACATCATTTTAATAAAAGCAATTTATGATGGCAAAATTGGAGTGAAATCGGTCGAATAATTCTTGAAAAATAGAATTTTAAAAATTCGATTTTTTTAAAATTGGATTTTCTCTCTTGACCAAACTATTGGGACCCTATTTTCCAAAATGAGGCTATCCCCTATGTTTCAGAGGCCAGGAACCCGAATCCGTCAAAAAAGAAATGTGTTTTTTCAGAGAAAATACACTTTCATATCTGATTTCGTAACTTAAAATATTGTATGTACTAATTAATTAGCATATTTGAGATCAATCTTTTGAACCATGAAGATTGAGTCCTAGAGCATGAAGATCCAATCATTAGATCAAAAGTTATTCATAGTGGTCCATTTTTTTTGCACACTAAGCATAAAAAAAAGTACAACCAATCTTTTTAGAGTTGCTACCATTAGTTTTTTTTTAACCGTATGTTTATAAACAGCTGTTTATAAATTTCTGGAACAAATATTACGTTCGTTACGACTCACACCTAATAATAGCTTTAAAAAACGCATTCAAGCTAAATATTTACTTCTCATGGTTTTATAGAAAAATATATTAGTCACTAAGATGAAAAAAAATTGAACTTATTTTTTATATTAGTAGTGCGCAAATTTCTTGTGAACAGGAAAAGAATAGTCAGCAAATATTTTTATAGCGGTAAAAAAGAAATTTCCCTACATTCTATCTACAAAAAAATTTTATGAAACTAACAATTACCTATTAAGAAAATTTTGAACTAAAAATTTACCTGCTTGTAATCCATCTAATGGTAAAATCCGCTGTCCAAGCATTTTCCCATTCTCATCAAAAACAGCTATTCTTAAGACAGCTAGGTCTGGTAGAACTACCTAAAAAAAAGATATTATTTTCTAACTTTCTTTTATTCAGAAATTAGTAAATGTTTGTATTTCTAATTCGTCAAAAGTGGATATTTTTGCATTTTTTAATAAGGGCTATGGTAGCCTAGTGGTTATAACATCGAACTTCGGTCCAGAGGTGCTGGTGTTCGATCTCAAAGCCGATATACAAGCTCGTAAAATCTGAGAAATTGAAAGTCCTGGGGTCGGTCGCTGAACAGTACTGTGGATACAGGGATCTAGAGAAAATTTCATTCCTCTTTAGATATAAGTTCAAATTGTGGTAGTGGCCTCAAAAATTAATGGTGCTGCCCTCTATCCGGAGAGTTCTGAGCTAAGGCACACTTTCACCCTAGCGGTGCTCTTTCGTCAATTGAAATGAATGATCATTCCTGACTTAATTCGCAAGTCCAATGGCTAACGAGCTTGGCTTGTCCAAGTGTCATTAGAAACAGCAACATATTTTCGAATAATTTATACTCAGATAAAAATCTAATACGGGGAAAAAATCGGATATTCTATTCGGATTACCTAAAGCGCATTTATTGAAAGATATAATGGCTAAATGAATTCATTATCGATCTGTTTATGACTATCATTCATGTATGAACATTTGA